TCGAACCACTCTTGCCGCCGCCGTGGCCGCCGCCCTGGGGAGAGGACTTGGGCACTAGGTCGAATCGTTTGGTGATGTCTGCCAGTTGCTTCTCAAGCTTCGCCTGGCGCTTATCTCCGAGCACGTGTGGCCCACCACCACCACCACGAGGACCAGCAGCACAAGAGCTCGCCCCATTGCCGAAAGTCTTCGCTCGATCCAACACATGCTTGGGCGCTTTTTGACCGCATTGACACTGCACTCTGCACGCCCAGTTGCTGGTTCTTCCACACCTCTGGCAGCCCCAATATGGCGTCCTCGGCCCTTTGACGACTGCATCCATGCTTGGCTCCCTCTGGAGCCGATACGAATGCTCCAGCAGGAGCTCACAAATACAAATCACTAAACGAGCCAAAGGCCCGCAGCAGCACTTGGCCGTTTCGAAGAGGCATGCTGTTACAAGCTCAGAAAAACTCTGAACCGAAACGGCTGGGAGGAGGAGGAGGAGGAGGAGGAGGAGGAGGAGGAGGAGGAGGAGGAGGAGGAGGGAGGAGGAGGAGGAGGGAGGAGGAGGAGGAGGGAGGAGGAGGAGGAGGGAGGAGGAGGGAGCGGGCAGGGCGGGGGGCCGCCTTAGAAGGTGGCCCCCATCTGCCCCCCCTGGCAAGAGAGGCCCCCGCCGTGATGCGTGCTCGATCATGGGCCATGGGCGCCTTGGCAGGTCGAGTGCCCGTCGGCCTCCGTCGCTGCCGCGAGGGAAACGCCGGGTGTTGCTAGGAGTGCCCCTGGCCCGAGGTGCCCCCAGCACTGCCAAGGAGGCCCCCACAGCTTCGAGAGCACCCCCACGAGGGGGATTTTGAACATAGAAAGAAAAGATCATCACCAACAATACTTAAACATACTCCAAACAATTGTCAAATAATCGTCCCCAGAATATTTTTGACAATTTTTACCATTCCCCCTGTAGAGGAACATGCCCGACTGAAGGCTATGTCGTGCGGGGTGGTAGCTGGTCGCTCCGCTCTGCCAGGCGGGAGGCTGGAAAGAGCGCGGGTTAGGTCGGGCCTGTCCCCCATACAGGGGGATTTTGGATGAAAACTCAAACATAGTCCAACAATACTTACAAATACTCAAGAATGGCCCAACAAATCGTCCCCGACTACGTTTTGACTATTTTTGAATGGCCCCCGTGTAGAGGGACACGCCCGACTTAACAGTAGCACTTGAGGGCCACATCCCAGAAATCATTTCGAGCACCCCGAAGAGTGTCGAAGCGGTGTCGAACGAGTGTCGCCTCCCAGTGCCCGACGCGCGAGAACCCTCCCAGTGTTGGTACTCTCCTGGTGCCCGAAGTGCTTGCTTGTGATTCAGGCTGATGTACAGTCGGCCCTGATCAGTGGGTCGGCCCTCCCAATCAAGAGTACCCTTGTGTCCTATATCTCGCGACCCATGCCTCCTAGATTCCTATGGCAATGTGGCCCTTGGAAGGGTCTTGTGTCCTCTCGCGCGTCCTGTCCAGTCAAGTCCGACTGTTGGTTGGAACATCGTAGCCGTACATCATATCTCGAACGCAAGCATACGACGAAGCCGCGATCTCGAATCGGTCAGGCGCCGAGTGTCTCCCGCAGGCAGAGTTCGGGCACGGACAGGACCGCCCTCCAGCAAAACGTGGCTGAGTGCAGACGACCCTAGCCCAAACCTGGCGGGCGCAGGCCTGGAAGGGGACGGCCGCGGCGCCCTCTCGAGAACCGACAACGGACGATTCACGAATCGACGTGTCAGGGTGGGGGCTCTGTCCGCCCCCGACGAGCACGAGGAAGCCGTGCTATCTTGGAGCGGTCAGGCGCCGGTTGCCTCCCGTCGTCTCCCGTTGTCGCTCTCTAGGTGTCTCCGTCTGTGCCCCCCCCCTCTCTCCGCCACGGCGTGGAAGGCTGTTCGGGGCGTCGCGTCCGAGCCCGTCGCCTGGAAAGCCAACGTCCTGGAACCTCAGAGCGCGGCGAGCGTGGATACCCATCGGTCGGAAGAAGCAGGCGGAAGCGTGAAGCGGGAAGGCGTTGAAAGCAGATTGGGTGTCCGCCCGCCCCCTAGGGAGGACGGCAAAGGTGAAGCCGCTCGATCATTGAAGTAGGAAGGCGCCTAAAGTAGATTGGAAGCTGGGAATCCCAAAATAGCTGCTTTCAACGAACGATGGGTACACGTCGTTCAATTCTAATCATGGCCCCCTAGTGGCCAGTAAGAGGCCCAGGCTAGAACAATTAGAAATGAGAGGATCTTGGCCCCCAAAAATCAAAGAGCTTTCGAATAATGATAAATGAACAATGTGTACATGTTTGCCCCACCGGGAGGGCGAGTGCAGCCATCGCGCTATCACAAGGAATGCCGAGCTGAGGAACGAAGAGGGCTCTTCTGGCCCCTGCTAGCCTCGGCCGACCTGCACAGATCAGGAACGGCCAAGAAACCAGAGCCCCTCCTGAAGCCTAAAGTAGTTCAGCGTCGTGGCTGCACGGCCATCTCCGCCTCCCGCCGAGGTCCCCTAAGATCCGACGACACGGGACAACAACGTGCGTAAGCGTCGTCAACACTCACGTCCAGAGCCCCGGACCTGATCTTTCTGCAGCAGTTTGGCAGCTGGATCGACCTGTGACGCCCTTGGGCCCCAAGACAGAGCAAAACCGCCCAGCACGAAAAACTTGCGACGTCAGAATCTCAGGCTCCAGGTTCGGGGAGACGTAAGACTCGGGTTCGGGGGACTTGGGTTGACCTGACGGGGCCATCATGAAAATGACGAGACCCAATCTGAAATTTGACGCGAGCTCCCGCTGCAGACATCCCACGAACACTGGACCGTCAAAATCCAGGACGCGCTCGTCAACATGAGCGACCCACGAACTCGGAAAGGAATATAGAAGTGTGAGGCATGGCAACGTTTCAAAAACACCTGATTGGGCGACGGGCAAATGCAATGCTGAGTGTATCGATCTTGATGTACAGTGTTGAGGGCTGTGCTGTGCTGCGTCGTGCTGAATTGCGATGTGCCATACCGCGATTGTGCTCTATAGCGTTGTGGATCGAGTCCCCCTTTGCATCCGAGTCCTGCTCGAACTGATCTGGATCGTAAGCTCGAGCTGTCTGAGCACATAGTAGCTGCCCCAGAGCTAAATGACAGGGGGACACGCCAGGAGGACGCGTCGCGGAACGTCCCAAGGGACGCGCCAGGCGACGTGCCAAGGGACGTACCATGGCGACACACCGCGGGATTTGCCAAGGGGACGCGCTACGGACGTGCCAGTGGACGCGCCACGGGATCAAGGGACGCGCCGCGCGACGTGCCAGGGGGACTCGCCACGGGACGCGCCACGGATCGTGCCAAGGAACGTGCCAAGTTGCAATGCTGAATGTATCGATCCTGATGTACCGTGCCGAGGGCTGTGCGTGCTGCACCGTGCTGAATTGCGATGTGCCATGCCGCGATTATGCTCTATAATGTTGTGGATCGAGTCCTCCTTTGCATCCGAGTCCTGACCGAACTGATCTGGATCTTAAGCTCGAGCTGCCTGAGCACATAGTAGCTGCCCCAGAGCTAAATGACAGGGGGACACGCCAGGAGGACGCGTCGCGGGACGTCCCAAGGGACGCGCCAGGCGACGTGCCAGGGGACGTGCCATGGGGACGCACCGCGGGACGTGCCAAGGGGACGCGCTACGGAACGTGCTGGGGACAAGCGTCCCGCTCGAGACTTCCTGCCCAAATCCTTATGCTAGACATCCGCCTGGGGGACCTGGGCACGTGAAAACAAGCGTTTCGCTCAACACATCCTCAACACATCCTCATGCTAGACATCCGCCTGTGCGAGCTGGACACGTGAAAACAAGTGGTCCGCTCGAGACTTCCTCGACACATTTCTATCTTAGGCGTGCACCTGGGTGACTGGGCATGTGAAAACAAGCGTTTCGCTCGAGACGTTCTCAACACCTCCTCATGCTAGACATCCGCCTGGGCGACCTGGACACGTGAAAGCAAACGTCTCGCTCGAGACATCCTCAACACACCTTCATGTTAGAGATCCGCCTGGGCGACCTGGACACGTGAAAACAAGCGTTTCGCTCAAGACATTCCCAACACATCCTCATGCTAGACATCCGCCTGGGCGAACTGGACCCGTGCAAACAAGCATCTCGATCGAGTCTTCCTCAACACATCTTCATGTTAGAGATCCGCCTGGGCGACCTGGACGCGTGAAAACAAGCGTCTCGCTCGAGACATCTCAACGAATCCTCATGCTAGACATCTGCCTGGGCAACCTGGACGCGTGAAACCAAGCGTCTCGCTCGGGACATCCTCAATTGTTTCTGCAACACAAGCGTCTCGCTCGGGACATCCTAAAAAACATAATTTCGCGGGCCCTACGCGACCTTGTAATTTTCTGCAAATAATTTAGCCGGCCCTACGCAAGTCGAGGCTGGGGGGTTAACTAAAAGAGAACCCTGGGCCCACGTTCATTCCGGGAAAAAGCGTCGGCTAACCCGAGCTCTGGCGTACACGAATCTCACGTTTCCCCGACAAGGAGATCGGCTTCCTGTGCGGTGGGCACCGAGACAGAGCCCCCGCCCCTGGAGGCCTCCCAGATGGGCTCCGAGCAGGTCGGGTCGGAGGCTCGCGCCGCATCGCCGATGCATCGGCGATAGACTGGCGCCGTCGGCTCGGAGAACATCGGGCTCCACATCGAGCCGCGTCGCCGCTGCATCGGCGATGCGGCGCGGTCCTCGGGCCCCACCTGCTCGGACCCCGCCTGGGAGGCCTCGGGCCTCGGGACCCATCTGCTCGGACCCTGCCTGCCCGGGCCCCATCTGCTCGGACCCCTATCGAGGAGGCCCGGAGCCTCGGCCCGCCTCTGCTCGGACCCGGTCTGGGAGGCCTCGAGCACTCGACCCCATCGACTCGGGCCCCATCAGTACTCGGATCCCCTCTGCCGTGACCCCAACTGGCAGGCCTGGAGCCTTCGAGCTCCGCCGCGCTCATCGGGCTCAGCCCGCCGCGGCCCCCCCGGCGTCGCCCGCTGAGTGGCGCAGCGCCGCGGCGTGCGCCGCGGCGTAGGCCGCCGCGAGCTGGCGCTCGTCCAGCTCCTCTGCGAGAGCGGCGCCCATGCACTGTGCCACGTTTGGGCTCCCGTCAGGCCGCACTCGAACGCGGTGCGGTACAGAACCAGTCGGCCCCAAGAGCCGAAAAGCTAAGCCCCGTACGACCGACTCGTATCATACCGACTTCGGCGTTGGGTTCTGACACCGCGGGGATCGGTCAACCCTGAACGATCGGCCGTCTCCGAAGCGTCAGACCTTTCACAGGGGGGCGTTAAAAGGGGGGGGGCAGGATGCCCTGCTCGGGCCCTAGAGGCCCCCTTTGGGGCCCGAAAGGGCCCCTTTGAAGGCCTTCAAGGGCGCCCGTTCTGCAGTCCTCGCTGCCCCCCCATTCATCGCCCCCCCCCCTAAACGACTACGCGACGCCCAAACATCGGCTCGGCCGATTCTGGGTCGCCTGCGGCGCTCCACGTTGAACGCCGGCGGCGGGGTCGCCGCCGGCCGACGCGACGCGAACCTGCCGCGCTATTCTTGGGTCGACGATCGACGCCGCCTCGGGAAGATGCCAACGCGGTGAGGTGCACACACGTCTTGGGTCGGGCATGTCCTCCTACATGCGGATCTCGGAAAAAGGATTTCAAACACAGTCAAAGCAAATATTCTAAAATAGTCCATGGTCGAAAAGGCGCCCCCAGACTACTGTTTGGCTAATTTTGAATATTCCCCCTGCAGAGGGACATGCCTTCACGTCGTCGCGATGGTCTGCTGCTGGTGGGGCCGCGGTGGCCGCGGAGCAGACCCCGCAGGCCCCGCAGGCCTCCTCCTCCTCCTCCTCTTCATTCTCCTCCTCGTCCTCCTCGTCCTCCTCCTCGTCGTCCTCTTCCTCCTCTTCCTCCTCCTCCTCCTCCTCCTCCTCCTCCTCCTCCTCCCCCTCCTCTTCATTCTCCTCCTCGTCCTGCTCCTCTTCCTCCTCCTCCTCCTCCTCCTCCTCTCCTCCTCCTCCTCGTCCTCCTCCTCCTCCTTCTCCTCCTCCCCCTCCTCCTCCCCCTCCTCCTTCACACAAGTCGTCCGCGGATCCTCAGGGCGCCGCTCGCCCGCGGGCGCCGCGCCCCGCAGCGCCGCGCGCATGTGCTGCAGCGCCGCGGCGCGGGCGAGCCAGCAGCGCTGCTGGATGCCTCTCGGGGCGCTGGCGCCGCACGGGAGTCGGGTGTTGCGAGAGGTGCCCATGGCCCAAGGTGCCCCCCTCCTCCTCCTCCTCCTCCTCCTCCTCCTCCTCCTCCTCCTCCTCCTCCTCCTCCTCCTCCTCCTCCCAGGGCCCCCCAAGGAGTTCCGTGGAGGTCCCCACCGCCTCCAGAGCACCCCTCACGAGGCCCAGAGGGCCCCCAGGGGCCTTCCACTTGATCGAGAAGCTGGGGGCACCCTGGGCCAGGGGCAGACCCGGAGGCGAGGGGGTCCGAGCAAACGGGGCGGGAGGATCCGCGCCGCACTGCCGATGCGTCGGCGCTGCGGCTCGGTGTGCAGCCCGATCTTCTCCACGCCGACGTCGCCGATGCATCGCCAGAGGGAGGGGGGGGGCTCGGGAGGGCCCAGGCCTTCCGAGGAGCCGGGCCAGGGGGGGGGGGGGGAGGCTGCTTGGAAGGCGGGAGGGGGGCTCCTCGGGAGGGCGCAGGGCAGAGGGGCGGGGCGGGGGGGCGCCCTCGGCGGCCCTCGCGGTCCTCGCCGACCTCTCCTCTCCTCTCCTCTCCTCTTCCTTCCACTCCCCTCCCCTCCCTCCCCTCCCCTCCCCTCCTCTCCCCCCTCTCCTCTTCTCTCCTCTCTCCTCTCTCCTCTCCTCTCCTCCTCTCCTCTCCTCTCCTCTCCTCTCTCTCCTCTCCTCTCTCCTCTCCTCTCCTCTCCTCTCCCTCTCCTCTCCTCTCCTCTCTTCTCTCTCCTCTCTCTCCTCCTCCTCCTCCTCCTCCTCCTCTTCCTCCTCTGGGAGCCTGGGGGGGCTCCTGAGGAGGCCCCCGCCTTCTGAGAAGCCCCTCGCTCGCGCCGCTTTGTGCGCGCCACCGGGGATGGCCGTCAGAACCGTCGTGAAATAAGCATGGCGTGTTTGCCTCGTTCCAGACACCTGGTGCACAGAAAGGCGGGGGATAACGAGGGGGCGAGAGCTCTGGTCGTGACTCTTCACGACGCCGCGACCTTTTTGCGACGGCGGACCTCGGAGAGGGGATTTGAGTCAACATCGATGGTGAACAGTTCTGGACCTCCCACATGCGCGTTCGTCGTCGCTTGCTTGCTTCTCATTTCATCTCCCTCAGCAGCCGTGCACCACAGACCTCGTGGAGCCGGCCACGCGGGGCTGGCTTATTTCCCAGCGGATAGGCTCGTACCTTCCGCTGCGGCCTCAGAGCGTCCCCGTGGCCACGTTGTGTTTGCCCCCTTGATTAGCTAAGGGGCTGGAATGGTTCGCCCTCTTTGGGAGAGGGGCAAACTTGCCGATGGCGGTACTTCCAAAACCTATGTCTGGGTGCGCTCTGACAAGAACTTCGAAGAGTATCCATCCGTGGCGATGAGGGCCCTCCAGAACGAGCAGCGGTGTCGATACCTTCTCCTTCCCTGACTTTTTGGCCACCACGCCCCCCTCTCAAATGCCTCCCTCGACCACGGCCAACTCCAGGAGGCACGGGCCCTCCGGCAGGGCTGGCCGCGGCGACAGCATGAACGAAGTGCCCAGGAGGCCCACGTGCGACAGCGACACCTGCGGCCTCACACACCGGGCGCAGAGCTCGGGGTCGTGCACCAAGATGTTCGGGCCGGGCGAAAGGGGGGGAGAGCAAAGGGGGGGGTGAGAATCAGCTCCCGGCGCCGGGAGGCGCCCATGTATTGAGGAATTGGCCCGGCGACGGGGCCGAAACCAGCTGCGTGCAGCAGATTTCGGAACCCCCCCTTTACCTATCCCCCCCTTTCGTTCGGCCCGAGATGTACTGCTCCTCCCCGAGCCGAATCTGGGAGCCCAGCGTGGGGGCACCGGCCGACGTCGAGTGGCCGGGCTCGCTGCCCCTCCCGCGCAGGGCCGCGGCGCGCGCGGCCGCGGCGCGCGCGGCCGCCTCGCTGTGGAGGGCGGCCGCCTTCGCCTCCCGCAAGGGGTCGTCGACGAGCACATGTCCTGTGGTAGGCGAGGCGTGCATCGCCTTCCAATCGATGACCTGGACCTGTTCCGAATGCAGAAGAAGCGCCCTCATACTAAGCACCCCATACAAGCGAAGCACTCCTGGTCAGCGCGCCCAAAGCAAGAATGAGCCGAGCAGAGCCCGGCTGTGGAGCAAACGACCAAGACTGTTGAGCAATCGCCAGTTGTGGAAGGTCGGGGTGTTTTTTTCCCCCCTTGACACGGGAACCTTCGGGAAACGACTTGAACCTGCGCTCCGCGACACCGCTCCACTTCCACGGCGCTCAGTGGAGGGCGCAACTTTTCCGCTGCGCTGCGCGGCTCAAAGCGCTGCTGCGCGGTGTTGTGCGGTGCTGCGCGGTGGTGCGCAGGTTGCTGCGCGGCTGTGTTGCGCGGCTGCGCTGCTCTGGCGCGCCGTGGGTTCGGATCTCCAGAGTTAGGTCGGGCATGTCCCCCTACAGGCGGAGTTTGGACGGAGAATGAAGAATAGCAGGAAAATGTTCAACAGTAGTCAAAACATGCTCGAAACATCGTCCCCGGATAATTTTTTGTACTATCTTTGAATATCCCCCCTGTAGAGGGACAGGCCCAACTTAAGTCCAGAGCCCCTCTGCATCAGACTTGTTGGTCGCAGCGGCGCGGACGCACGCCGCCGTCTGGGGCAGCCGAGGGACACCACGGGCCCTGGGCAAAATCGGGCACGGCAGGAGAGGCATGTGACTGCCTACCAGGCCACCCCAACCCAACCCGAAGACCCGAATTTCGGGTTGGGGGGGGGTACGGGTTCCATATGTTTTTTTTCAATGCTCCCCGACCCCCCCCACTGGAAATGGAGGGCAAATCGGGGCCTTCGGGTTGGGTTGGGGTGGGTTGGTGGGTGGCGAGCATGCGCGGGGCCGCGGGGGGAAGGAGGGGGGCGGAGCACTCCCAGGGCACGAAGAGTCACTGGACGTGTGTGTGCTGGAGCACGGCACGCGCAGCGGGAAGATGTGGAATGATACCAGGGCTGTGAGCAGCACTAAGTCGGGCCTGTCCCCCTGCAGGGGGATTCTGGGTGAAAAATGAAACTTACTCAACAAATACCCCCTAAATGGGCAGAAATAGTCAAAAGATCGTCCCCAGAGTACTTTTTGACTACCTGTGAACCTTCCTCCTGTAGAGGGACAGGCACGACTTAAGAGTAGCACTCGGACCCAGTGGCCACGACCTCGGAAGCTGTGCTGCCCCCCCGTGATCGGCCGCGTGAGGACCTGGGCCCCAGACTGCAGCTGGACGGTCTTGTTCTTGACGCTGCGGTGCGTCCCGTCCGTGTCGATCAGCTCCATGCCGGCCTGCTCCCGGCGCACGCCGCCGCTCTCGAGGACCAGCCGGCACCGGTAGGTGTTCCCCTCGCAGGCCGCGAACGCCACCGACCCGCTGACGGCCTGGCCCTCGTTGACCGCGAGGGGCTGCTCCAGCATCAGCCGCGTCTGCCACCAGTGGGTGCAGCAGTCCCAGGGCGACGTCGAGAGGATCACGCTGCACGCCGAGCCTGGAGGGGACAAAAACGATGACCATGACCGCGATTGAACGCGGAGATACCGGAGTCGATCTCGGTCATCGTACGTTTTGGTCATCGTCAATTCGTGGATCGTCCTTGCGAATCGGTTTGGCGACGGCCAGCATGGACCCTGGCCAAGATCGGCGTCGGCAAATCCCGCGACAGCTTGGTCATGGTCATCGTACTTTTCTCCTCGAGAGCCCTCGAAGTGGGCCTCGAACCAACCAGCCACGCCGTGCACGACGCAGGTGCTCTTGG